CCGCTTACATCTATCTAATGATGTATTGCAAGATGTTCTGAAGGAAACTTCTGCGGCTTCACTATGGCTGAAATTGGAGCAGTTACTAATGACGAAGAGCCTACCCAACAAGCTGCATCTGAAGCAGCGACTGTTTAATCTCAAGATGATGGAAGGTGGCTCTCTGTCCGATCACATTTCCATGTTCAAAGAGTTAGTMAATAACTTGGAGAACATGGATGTCCAGTACGAGGATGAAGATTTGGCTTTATTCTTGTTGTCATCATTGCCCGAATCCTACAGCCATTTTCGGGATACTATCATCTATAGCCGCGACACTCTTGTGTTAGATGAAGTTCTTACAGCCTTAGACTCTAAGGAGAAGATGAAGCAGATTACAGGTGGAACAGAAACAAAGGCCGAAGGMTTAAATGCCAGAGGYWGAACAACRRACAAAGGTAAAAACTTCCAACGAGGCAGATCYAAGTCTAAAGGCAAACARAAGTTTTGCAACTATTGCCACAAAAAGGGACATACTATCGACGAATGTTTTAAACTGAAAAACAAGGAGAGGTTGGCAGACAACAAAAAGGCAAGTACTTCGGCTGAAGCTGATGTAGCAGAGGCCGGTTGTATTGGAGAACTTCTAACAGTTTATTCAGATGAACTGGATTCTTCTGATGAATGGATTCTCGACTCTGGTTGTACTTTTCATATGTGTCACAACAAAAGTTGGTTTTACACATTTGAAAAGGTTAACCATGGTTATGTTCTGATGGGCAACAACTCTACATGTCCAGTTGTTGGACATGGTTCTGTCAGAACCCGAATGTATGATGGAGTCATCCGAACCATTGGGGATGTTCGATACGTCCCTGACCTTAGAAGAAATTTGTTATCATTCAGCACCTTTGATAAAAAGGGTTATGAGTTTGCCGGTAAAACTGGAGTTCTCAGAGTTTTCAAAAATGACTCTGACTCACTGAGGGCCAGACGAAAAACCTCAGATCTTTACTTTTTCGAAGGGCAAACAATTTCGAGTGATGTTGCTGTCGCTTCAAAGTCACTCTCAGAACCAGATCAGTCCCGTCTTTGGCACCTTCGACTCGGCCACATGAGTTTTCAAGGCATGTCAGAATTGAGTCGAAGAGGTTTACTTGGTAATCAGAAGGTGGTAGAGTTAGAATTCTGTGAAGACTGTATTTACGGCAAGGCAAAACGAGTGCGATTTATGAGTGGCGTTCACACGACGAAAGGGCCACTCGATTATGTTCACTCGGATTTATGGGGACCAGCTCGAGTTGCTTCGAAAGGTGGAGCTATATATATGCTCATTATTATTGACGATTTCTCAAGAAAGGTGTGGTGTTTCTTTCTAAAGCATAAGGGAGACGTTTTCTCTATCTTCAGAGATTGGAAAGTTCAGGTTGAAAAGCAGTCAGGTTTGACGGTAAAGTTTGCGTACGGATAATGGACTGGAGTTCTGCTCAGAAGAGTTCAATGCCTACTGCCGAAAAGAAGGCATTACTCGTCATCGCACAGTAGTCCATACACCTCAACAAAATGGTGTAGCCGAAAGGATGAATCGCACCATTATGGAGAAGGTCTGCTGTATGCTTTCTAATTCCAAGTTGCCAAAGTCTTTTTGGGCTGAGGCTGCTTCGATTGCTTGTTATGTTATTAACCGATCACCGTCACGAGCAATTGAGAAGAAAACTCCGTTTGAGTTATGGTCCGGTAAACCTGTCGATTATTCAGATTTAAAACCGTTTGGGTGTCCAACGTATGCACGAGTTGACAACGGGAAGTTAGAGCCGAGGGCACTTAAATGTGTCTTTCTTGGGTATAATCCGGGTGTAAAAGGTTACAAGTTGTGGAGCTTTGATCTAAAGAAAGTTATCATCTCAARAGATGTTACTTTTGATGAGTCTGCAATGATTCAACCAATTGCCGACCCTTCTAAAAGTACAGATGCATTATCTGAAGCAAGTAAAGAGAAAGCTAAAATGGAGGTGGAGCTTCCTACTTCACCTACCACTAATCAGAGTACAAATCAACATCAAGATTCTTCTTCATCGGATGAGCATGTTGTTGGTGAGGATCCAACACCTTCACAACCACAAGCTACTACTCAAGCATTGCAAGAGATAGACCGAGAAGACAGATTGTTCCTCCAAAGAAGTATGCTGAAGCTGATTTGGTTGCTTATGCTCTTATTGTTGCGGATAACATTGAGTCCGGAATGGAGCCTGCAAATTATGATGAGGCTATCAAATCTGAAGACTCAAGTGATTGGATGATCGCTATGCAAAGTGAGATGGAATCCCTGCAAAGAAATGGTACTTGGGAGATAGTTCCTATTCCRAAAGGTAAAAGACCAGTCAAATGCAAGTGGGTCTACAAGATCAAAGAACCTGTCGGCCCGAAAGAGAAACCAAGGTACAAGGCTCGATTGGTAGCTAAAGGCTACAGTCAGATCCCAGGCATTGATTATACTGACATTTACTCCTCAGTTGTCAAACACACTTCTATCCGTGCATTGTTGGGGTTAGTTGCTTCTAATGATTACGAATTGGAGCAACTAGACGTTACTACAACTTTCTTAAATGGTGAGCTTGAGGAAGAGATTTTCATGCAACAACCTGAAGGTTTTGTAGTCCCTGGCAAGGAGGACTACGTATGCAAATTAAAGAGATCTCTCTATGGCCTCAAGCAGTCTCCTAGACAATGGTACAAGAGGTTCGATTCTTTCATGACCAGTCACAAATTTAGCAGGTGCACCTATGATAGTTGCGTTTATTACAAAACCGGTGACGATGGTTCAAAGATCTACCTGCTCTTGTACGTGGATGACATGTTAATCGCAGCAAAAGATATGAAGGAGATTCAGAAGTTAAAAGACCAGTTGAAAGCTGATTTTGAAATGAAGGACTTAGGAGCTGCCAAAAAGATTTTAGGTATGGAAATTGTTCGTGACAGGAAGTCTAGGGTCTTGCATCTTTCTCAAAAAAGTTATATGGAGAAAGTCCTAAGACGCTTCAGTATGCATGAAGCAAAGCCTGTTAACACACCTTTTGCAGCTCATTTCAAGCTATCATCCGCTTTGAGTCCTACTACTRAGACTGATATGGCTTACATGGCACGTGTTCCATACTCTAGTGCTGTTGGATCTTTGATGTATGCTATGATCTGTACGCGTCCTGATTTGGCTTATGCTGTTAGCATGGTTAGTAGATACATTCGCGAACCCGGGGAAAGAACATTGGAAAGCAGTGCAGTGGATTTTTCGTTATTTACGCGGTACGTCTTCTATGTGTTTACACTTTGGTAAATCTAACACTGGGRTGTTTGGATATGTTGATTCAGATTATGGCAAAGATTTGGATAAACGAAGATCAATTACAGGGCATGTGTTTACTCTAAATGGTTGTGCTATTAGTTGGAAAGCCCAGTTGCACTGTCTTCTACTGAGGCATAATACATGGCGATTACAGAAGCAGTTAAGGAAGATATCTGGTTGAAGGGATTATTTGGAGAACTCGACGATAGAATATAGGTGACCACAATTTTCTGTGACAACCAGAGTGCTATCTTCTTGAGTAAAGATCAAATGTTTCATGACCGAACAAAACATATTGATATTCGTTATCATTTTGTGCGGGATATCATTGAAAAAGGTGATTGTGTCGTGGATAAAATTCATACAGATTATAATCCCGCTGATATGTTCACTAAAAGTCTTCCTATAGCCAAG